GGGTGCTCCCCCCCCGCCGGGCACTGCCAGCTCCCGCTCCAAGGCTGCCCCTTCTCCTCCCTTGCCGGCCCACAGGCCCCGAAGCACACACGCTGTGTCAGTGACCGACAGGCATCCTGCTAGGGCAGGGTCACAACCACCAAACGCTGCTGTCCCCACCTGCCACACTGCCTGTCGCCCTGCTGCCCACGAGCATCGCCCTGTCAGCACGGCATAGGCCGGGTGATGAAAAGAACAGGGAATGGCTTCCCACCATCCAACTGGTTTAGTCTCCTCTCTGTCAACAGACAAATCTACCGACTCCTGGTTGAGATAGATGGATGAAAACCCCCTAGTAAAAGTCTCTGAAAAGCTCTACCAATGTAATTAGAAACCAGGGGCAGGGGAAGAGGATGCATTTCTTGACCTCCAGGGTCAAGAAGTGAGACCAAAATTCACTTCAGCAGCATACATCCGTCCGTTCCTCCATCCAGGTCTGACAATAAATCCCTGCCGCTGCTCATCTCAGCTGTGGCAATGCTGCGGATTGACACTACTCCAGAAGTGAAAGGGCTGCTAGCCCCATCGCCCAGAAACCCACCACAAAGGCAGAAGCAGCTGTGTATGACTCCATTAAGCAGTAATCTAGGAATGAGGGTAGAAGAGCTATCACTGCCCTTCCATCTGCTGCAGCCCTCCTGCTCCGCATGAAGCAGCTCCCAGTCTGTGTGACGAGGAACAAGAGAGGAGAGACCAGGAAAGGAGCCTGAGGAGCATCCATGACTCCCAGGGCAGGTATTGCTCCTGTAGTGATGGATTTCGGATAACTGTTGGCTTTCACTGTTGACAGACAGGACCCAGACAAACCATCCCAAGGATCTCTCCCCACCCAGCCCCACGCTGCAAAGCCTCTGTCCCCTCTGCCTTCCCCACACCTGACAGCCAGCACTCACCGAGCACCAACACTCTCTGGGTGGGAAGATACTCCAGCTGTGGGATGTCTCTGCTGCGCAAACGGGTGCAACAACGCCAAAGCTATGGCAGTTTGGGGGTTTTCAGTGCTGCGTGTAACACGAGGGGCAAAACTCAGAAGTCGTGAGCAAGAGTTCGCCAAGATCATCCACAGAAAGGAGAAACTGAGGAGCTAGTATTGTGTCTGCCCTGCAGGAAGCAAAAGCCTAGAAACAGAGAACCTGTATTATCCAAAAAGGCAAGGCCAAGTCAAACTGACTGGTTTAAAAGGAGCAGCCTTTCAACAGAGGAAGTGGGGATGCAGGACAAAGACAGGGCTGGAGTGGGCAGGGAACTGGTTAAGATGCAAGGCAGTGTGGAAGGTGGACAGCCCACCCCCAAGCTTTATTTTTGTCTTCCCTAACTTGGTGACTTTCCCATTGCATTCCCAAGATACGTCTGAGCAGACAGGCTCAAGGTGGGGAAGAGGAGGAGGAGAGGAAGAGAGAGAGTGTAAAGGGCACTACAGTGCCAAAGTGCAACAACATAAAAAAATAAAGTAAAAAGACAGGACACTCATTCTGCACTCAGGGCTCATACCATGCAGTAAGAGGGGCGGCCGGGGCTGCTCCCCACCAGTAAACAGGGAGTTCGCTCGCTGAGTAACTGGTTTTTCAGCCCACAAAGTAGGGTTGCCTAGCCAATGAGCGGTGATGTTCTTCAGGGAGACTGGCCGGTCCGGGAACGTGCTGCTGCAGAACGGGCCTGTTAGCAGGAGCACCCGCTCTCCGTTACTGGCTGCTCAGGAGGTTTCTCTAGTTTGATGTCAATCACTGCACGAGGCGAGTTAAGGAGATCACCCAGCTCAAGGGAAAACAAGGAGGAAAGAACAGAGGAAGGGATCAGTAACTGAAAGGGTTGCCAGCTGCCCCTTCTTGGTGAGGGCAGTGTTCCAGCAGGGCACAACACAGCCTGCCTGAACAGCATAAACTGTGAAACCAGTGGACTCGGCATGCCAACACAGTCTCGACGACAGAGCCCAGTCAGACTGGTCTGTGCACCAGACAGCCCTCTGCAAAAAGAGGAGAGTATCACGGTGTTTTAAAACTAGGCAAATCTTACCCCAGGCTGAAGTGGAGAAAGCCAAACTTGTGCTTGCCATTAGAAGTGGTGTGTACATTTACACACAGACCACAAGCACAGTCCTCCATTTACACCCACAGAGAAGCAGCACACGAGTGGCTGTTTCAGCCATCTCTCTGCACAACCCCAGTAAAGCCCGTCCCCACAGCGTGCCAAAGAGCCAGTAAGGCCAACCTGACAAAAGAGAATTGCAAAACTCTGTGAGAACAGGAAAGTTACTGACGAGAAAAGCAAGGATACTGTCTTCTTTGCTCTTCTCTGGTGTGCTGTCCATCCCAGGTAAGGCAGCAGCCACGCGACGGAAAAGCTGAAAAGTAGCAGGAGTTGAGCTGAAGGCTTGCCAGAAAAATGGCATGTTGGCAAACATTGCTTTGCAGCAGATCTTAGGAGTCCGAATTGTGAAAACTTGTTATGTGGGCACTTTTGCAAGCAAATCAACGACCAAGAAATGCCCTAAGAATTTGACCTAAGAAATTTATCAGGTTTTATTAAAGAAGTTATCCAATGCCTACCGATCAGTTTCATTTTTCACCTGTTTCTACTTGAATGGAACATGGAATTAATTAGTAACTGTTCTTCCAGGGACACCTGCCCTCAGCAATCGTGTCATCTACCACTTCCAGCCTCGACCGCTCTTGCACGCAGCAGTGTTACAGCACACAACTCCAGACTCCTGACGAGCAGCCTCACAAGAGGCCGAAGGTTTAAGGAGTCTATGGAATAACTCAGGTTTTACAGCCCATCCTTTTAGTTAAGTCCTGCTGCAAAACAGCCATTTCTAAGCAGAACAGCTGGCTCTGCTGAGCTGCACCTAAGCTATTAAAGGATGTGCTAGAGCTGGGAAGGACTATCGTATTCCTATTAAAAAAAACCCAAAAACTGGTTTTGCACAATTTTCCCAGTCAATGCTTAGAGCTCCTCCTGCTGACATCAACGCAGCAGCTGACACAATACAGACATTGCTGGGCAGTCTGATGAAAAGTGCTGCAAAACAAACTAGAGGAATCATCAGCTAACGATGATTGCAGTCACTTCTGGGTAGCCTGCTCTGAGCACAAGGGTTGGACTAGACGATCTCCAGAGATCCCTTCCAACCTCAACAATTCTAAGATCTTCCTCTGCAGCTTGCAAACAGGAGCAGGACTTTCTACTCTAGTGCATCAGCACATGCAATTATCCCAACTGATATCAACACTGATTTGAGAAAACAATGCATTAACAGTTAATAAAACCAAAGGGAACGTACAAAATTATGTTTGACTGGGCTGCACAAAATACTGGCACTCCTATCCCTCAGCACATTCCCGTTTCAGACTATCCTGTCCCTCAAGGTAAGTTTGCTCAGCTTTAACAGGTAATCACTGACTTGACAGGAGAGGAGCTTCTGCTAGATAAAGCAGCAGTGATCACTGGGCAAGGAGCGTTTCAGGGCTTGATGATAAAAAATGAGTAAGTGTCTGACAGAATATGAAGCCCAAGCAGAAGCACACACACAGAGCAGGGCAGATTTCCCGTCTTTAGGACAGAACATTGATTTACCTGTTTCACATTGTATCCAGTCTTTGCACTGGTCTCAATGAACATCACGTTCAGCTCTTTGGCTCTCTGTTCACCTTCTTCTGTAGTGATTTGCCTGGACAGAGACGCAAACAGAAGCAGAAAGAAAGAACAGACAGGAAGAGTTAGAGATGTCTGTGACTGCACCTTACACCCTGCTTTAGCACTGCTTTCAACACACACACCATAGCCAGTTCTTGGGCTTTCCTCTCACCCTCCTCTACAGAAACCTGTCTACAGCAACAAGAACAAATCACAGAAACGAAAAACCAAAACAAAGAAAAATAGTCCAAAAATGAGACAAAGAAAGCTGCAGGAAAAAACCCAGCCACCAACTGAAGCGACGTTAACAGGAAAGAAAAATATAGCGCGCGGCACTGAGTAAGAACAGTGCCATTTTTAGCTCAGCCTTTTGGCCTCAGTCCTTACCTTCCATCATCCCTGGGTTTGCACCGTAGGATGAACGGCTCCCAACGCACTGTATTCCATTTCGGATAACGCGAGCGAGCTCAGCCCGAGGCTGTGGCTTTGCCCAGCCCTAAGAGGCTCCGTGTTTCAGCCTAACCCAAACCTAACCGCCTTTCAGCAGAGAGGCACAGCAGCTTCTCCTGCATATCTCCTGGATATACAGCAGAATTCCAGATTCGAGCCTAGAAGAGGACTGCAGCCACTTACAATGAACTTCTGAAACAAGAATTTCTAGTGCTACATCAACTTCAGCCGTAGCTACGTTTCAAACCATTTTCTGGTAGTTTTAATCCTTACGGCAGTGCCGGGCCAGCTGTCCTGCACCATGCTCCACTTACGTACTATCAGGAAATATTCCAAGGCAGAAATGATCCCACTGGGTTTTCCAGTTCCACACAGAACTGGATTTTGATAGAAATCAGAAAGCCTCAAATCTAAATGCCAGATTATTGAGCTAGGGAGCTGCAGCTAGTTTTAGCTCCCAGGGGGGCACAAGAGACCCTAAGTGGTCAACACGCAGAGCTGGCTCAGGTGGAACATCTCGGATTTTGCTCAGTTGCTTTTGTAAGCTCGTGCTCTTGTAACAAGAAACTTTACTATGAACTTACAGTTGCACACAAAGAGTCACGTAAATAAAATTATTGGAGAAAAAAAAAAGACAGATTTCCTTGCTTTTGCAGGACAAGCTATTTATGCTTCATTTAAAATCAACAATGGTTTTGAAGATAGAGTGGTCGGCCAGTCCCTTGCTTTTACTGGTCAGGGCAGCAAGGCTGCCAGCTCCCCTCCATTACCTCTTGTCTGCCAGGTCGGTTTTGTTCCCCACCAACATGATGATGACATCGCTTCCCCTCTCTGTCCGAACGTCATCAATCCACTTGGAGGTTTGCTGGAAAGAATTCAAGTCTGTAGGGGAGAAGCAAACGGGAGTGCTGAGGCTAGAACTTCTTTTCAGAGAGGAGGAATGCTATGCCTGTACTGAGGGGCTTCTCCAAATCTCCCCACACCACACACATATACATGGCCCACAAACTGTTTTCCACTCAGACAGAAAAACAGGGCAGGGAAAACCCATTTCTAAGGTTAATCATCTTTTTGCAGAACTTGTGGTTGTAACACACTAGTTCTGCTTACAGGTAGCATTCCAAATAACGAGACACCAAAGCATCACTCACTTGTAATGTCATAGACTACCACAGCAATAGTGGAGTCGCGGATGTAGCTGGGAATGAGACTGCGGAACCGCTCCTGGCCTGCTGTGTCCCAGAGCTGCAGCCGAACCTGCTGGTACCAGGCCAGGGAGAGCAGAGAAAGAGACAGCGAGAGAGAAAAGAAAGGAGGAAACTGTCCTTTAGAGAAAAGGCCATTTCTGGAATTCACTGTATGCAGCTCAATCTGAGAAGCTTAGGCTGACCTTGAAATCTTGCCCCAAATATTCCAACACCACAGAAGATGCTTTTCTGGTTCTGTTTGTCCATGAAGTGCTTTAATCACCTCCTTTGCTTGCCTAGAGATTCTGCTATTCCAGAGAATTCTAGGTTATGGCTACTGCCTCATTGCCAACAGTGGCAGCTAACAAGGAATAGAGCTGGTCTTCCTTGTCCAGCCAGGATTTCACACGGAGCCTGCACAGGGCTCCTGGCCTACAGCATCTCAGATCAAAGCCTTTTGGGCAATTCTCCCATGACAGACATGCCACTGCCTCAGCCCAGACATCACACAGTAAAACAGCATCCATCCTCCCGCACCAAGCACCCAGAAGATGGCAATGGGAATTTTCATGGAAGATTAAGACCATCAGTAACTTAAGTTCCAGCAGAAACAAAAGCAAAGGTTGCACACTGTAGGCTTCACGTGACACACAGGGCATCGGGCTCTCCCTTTCAGACAAGCACAGGAGTCACAAACAAGCACAAATGCCACGAGAGGTACAGTTTGATCCCCAGAACTACACCCAAACACAAACTGATCTTCTATACGTGACAGCTATGAGGTCTGGGACCCGCCTATTTGGAACAGCAATGGTCAAACCATGCCCAGCTCCCCCAGTTTATGCTAACCGACAGCTTTTCACAACGAGGAGCGATACCATGTCCCTCCAAGCCATCACCCCACGTGGTGAGCTGTACAAGCAGCAACACACTGCCAGAAAACAGGATTGCTGCCAGCATTCTCAGCAGGCAGGAGTTTCGAGGGAGGGCAGATACTGATTCCCAGCTTAATTACATGAACTGGTTAGATGTGCTCCCAAAGTCACCTGCTCAGCAACGGGGAGAGCACAGGACAGCGGTTAACACGGCAGCTGGCAGGAGCCTGGCTAAACGGGAGAAAGCAGCTTCCGGACCAGTAATCGGCTCGTTAGAAGAGACACAGAAGCTGGACAGAGCACGTGTCTGCAAAGTGTCTTGCGACAAGTGACTCACGACAACACCCTATCTACATGGGGGTATGCAGATCTGATGCCCCAGGGCTTAAGGAAGATCCAGGTTTGTTAAAGCAATTAGCTCATGCTTGTTTTTAAAGGGAGCAGCAGAAGTCAGGGCTCTTCACTACCCCAGGAAACTCAGGGTGACAAGCTCCAAGCACCTGGACAACATTACTCCTGTGCTGGCAGATCAGATTGGTAATGACAGCTTCTGGCTCTTGCTTCTGGACTTCCCAACAAGCTTCCACACAGCCCAAGGCATTGCTGCCACATCAGACTGTATCCAGGAAGGTCACCAAGGTGGTGATGTAAACACCCCGACCTTCAGCCTCACAGGCAAAACAGCAGTTAGGGGAAGCACCACAGAACTGGGGAAGAACTGGCCTTGGTAGTCTTGTAGTGGAGTACTTGAGGGAAGGCCTTCAGCTTGTATGCAGGTACCACGCGGGCACCCCTGAAGTGACCCGAGAACGCTGGCAGCAATATCCCTGTGGCTTTGTGTTTCCAGGAGTCAAAGTTTGTGTGCACTCATATCGGAGGAGGAGAGAAAATACAAACAGTGCACTCCAACACGACAGCGTGCGAGTGACCCTACCAGCAGGGAAGGATGAAAGATCCTCCACCAAGAATCAACCCAGCTTCTCTTAGAAACAAGGTCTTGTTCAGACAGGGGGGCCTGAGCTGCAGGATGGACTTTCTCCATGGGTGTCTTCACAGGCACTTGTATTTCAGGATGCCCAGCAGATTAACAATAACTTCAGCAATTTCTCTTACACGCTAGCAAACGGTTCTTCTCTACTAATTAAGAGCATCTTGGCTGGTACTTAGGTATGACCTATGGGACTGTCCCTGTTTTACACTCCCATGACCAGCATTAACGTACAGGAGGTTAGCTGAGGTTCCCAAATAGTTACCACTAAAGACAATGCAAATAAGTAGCTCTTCAGAGTGGTGAAGGAAACGTGTTTTCCTAATTGCACTAGTGCTCACCATCATCCCGCCGTCAGAAGGACATGAGGAGGCTGCTTCGATAACACAAGAAAACTAAAAGCCTCACAGCCACTAAGAACAGAACAAAGAGCAGTAACAAGAAAAAACGAAATTATCTGAAAAGATCAGACCATTACCAAAGTATGATGAGATCAGCTATCACTTAATTATTTCTGACGTGTCTGGAAGCTGTTAAGAACAGCCTAGACTGGCACAATTTTTCCACCTGCCTGGATAAACAGCATCCTATACTTGTTGCAGCATTTTTGGGGGAAAAAAGGCCCCACCCTGCCCCCCCTGCCACACTGCCTCACCTGGATGAGTCCAGATGAGTTCCCAGTGTAAGTCGTCACGTGCACATCTGTCCTGGTTTTAGCTGGGACAGAGTTAGTGCTCTGTGTTCTGGATTTAGCGTGGGATTTGGTATGGGAAGAATACCGATAGCACATTGATGTTTATACTTGGTGCTGAGACACCAAGGACCTTTCAGCTTCCCAAGTTTTGCCAGTGTGCAGGAGCACAACGGGCTGGGGGGAGCATGGTGGGACAGAGGGGCCACAACTCCCCTTAGGATTTGAACTCAGACCTAGGATCGAGGGCCAAGTTGGCCAACAGAGTATTCCATAGCATGCAATGTCATTCCCAGTATGGAGATGAGGGCTGACCGGGAAGAAGGGCTTTCACTCTTCTGGAGGCTCTCTCTCTCTTGTTCTCCTCTGGGAACTTGGTGTTAGGACTTATCTGGTTTAGAATCCATTGCTGGGATGAAACAGGTGTTAGTCATCGGATGGTGAGCAATTACACTGTGCATCACTTGTCTGTATACATGATCATCATTCTACATCTATATATTATTATAAATATTACTTTTAATTTTATAATATCATTATTAAACTGTACTGATCTCAACCCAGGAATCTCCTTCCCTTTTCCCCTTTAATTCTCTTCCCCATTCCACGGGGTGAGGGAGGGTGAGCGAGCGACCGTGTGGAATTTAGATGCCAGCTGGGCAAATCACAACATCTCAGCACTCCTCAGACCCCAAACAGATCACTTCAGTTTTACATTAGTTTTCACCAAAGCAGAAATCCTCCCAGAGCCAACTACTCAAGCTACAGGACTGGGAGAAAGACCATCTGCCCTCCACATGCAAGACAAACCATACCACAAGTCTCCTGTTTGTTAAGCACTTCAGTGAACCAAGGTGAAACAAACTCCTGGTCCATAAAGCCTCCCTAAAATGCAGAGTTTGTGACAGAATAAAGGTGGGCCAGAGGTTTTTCATCTGCTACAATCTTTTCCTAGACTTTGTCCACATGGTGTTGGCTCATTGGTATAAATCCTGTCTAGATATTTATGCTGATAACATAGCTTAACCAAAAAAGCCAGATCAAGTGGGATCAATAACAAGGAGTTATAAGGAAATAATTGTATTAATATCTTATATTGAAACATTTATGCCAAAAGTTATGGAGGATTTCCCTCTACCCTTGTTTATTCTTTAGAAATTACAGCAGCTGCATCTCTTCTCTTTGGAAAGTTCTTGTTAGTCATACGAATCCACAGCTCTTCTCCAAAGAAATGAGAGTCTTGAATCCTTGTAAGTCGCTGCACAGCTTTTATTTAAATAGGTGTTGCACTGCTCTGCCTACTCTGACAGTGTTCCTTTGCTTCAGCACCTGAAGCTGTTACTTGTATTACCTCTCCAGTTATCCAGAAAGGAAAAGAAATTCATTCTGAGGTTTAAAAAAATAATAAAAAAAAGAAAGTAAAAAGCTTTCCAAAGGCTTCCAATCATCTTTCACTCCAATCAACACAGACACACGGGAAGTCACAACCCCTGTTCACCTACCTGCTAATCCTCTGTGTATCACTTCCACTGTCTGAGCTTTGAGCAGCGCAAGGTTAAACAACTCCCCAGTTTCTGAATTATGGGATGGAGTTACCATTGGTTGTAGGGGAAGATGCTCAGCTATTTCCCCTCAGCCCAGGAAACACCTGCAGTCCTGGGGTTGCTGGCCTGCCTTAGCCCCTTTCAGACACCACCACCATGTCCAGTGCACAGAAGGCACACGTTAAAAGCAAGGTCCCTGCAGCCCCTCTGGCTCAATACCTACTTGTGATGTCAAAGACAATGACAGCCACAGCAGAGTCTCGGATGTAGCTGGGAATGAGGCTGCGGAACCGCTCCTGGCCGGCTGTGTCCCACAGCTGCAGCCTGATCTGGGAAATGGAAAAGCGTAGGGGAAGAGGGAAAGGGAAGAGCAGGGAAATGGAAAACAAAACCAAAACTCAAGTGAAATAAAAATAAAAAAAAAAAAAATTGCAAGGCAAAAACAATGCAGCAAAAGGAAAGGTAAAACGGAACAGAAATGTGAAAAGAGCCATTCTAGCAGTGACCTCAGTGCAGCACAGCTGGGAAAGCTCCCTCCCTCCCTCCACAGCCCCACTGGTGACCCACACACAAACACCTTCTCCCAGTTAATCACAAACCCAGGATACCCCTAAACAGTACTCAGAGCACCTGCTAGCGATGGAAATGGGCACACATACCTCTCAGTGCACCCTGCCATGCCAGGGCTCTGGCTGCAACGGCCACGCGACCCGGCTGCAGCCCACGGCAGCTGGATGTGGTCACTCCAGTAAGGACCACCCCACCCAGCTACCAACCCACCAGGAAAACAGGTGTGGTGCCACAGAGCAGCAGGGTGCGAGCCACAACAGCGAACACCCTCTAGACTGGCTTATCCTGCGCTCAGATCCCACAAGTCTGAGAAGATATCACGACACAGGAAAGGAAATCCCACTCAGTGTTTCCCAAATGAGGTTGCAGCTGGAACACAGAGCTGTCAGCCTGACTGTCAGGATTGACCATGGGGCTTCCTGTGGTCCCAGTTCGCTCAGTGCCACAGCTCCCAGTGCAATCCCACGTGCTGGAAATGGCACACTCAGCTGCTCTCTGTGGCAGGCTAAAGGAGATGATGGTTTTGAGGAACTCAACTCCACATACATTTGTTCCTTCTGCTGGCCAGTACATACTACCCAGGCCGTTTTTAGAGCCGAGGGATTTGGCACAGGCACCATTTCGGGATATGTTCTTTGGTGCAAGGACATATCGAACACACCAAAGCACACATGACAGCCAGAGGCTCAGCACTCCTCATGCCAAGCGCAGCCAAAGCCTCTTGCAAGATACGGCATCAGCCAGACCAGAGAAATTATTTCAACGCCTGAATCCTCCTACCATGTGTGCTTGTATTTCTCCCTCCTCTTATCCACACTCAACACCTCTTTATTATTTAAACAGGCTTTAGGGGCTCTGTGGACCACTTACATAACCAGGAAAGCTAACAGTATATCCAGCGTTGGAAAGAAAATGGTATTTTCTGGATAGCAGGCCAGAGGGTGGATGACATCCTGACCTACACAGCTACAAGAAACCAAGACTACGCTGCTGAAAACAGCACACAGGCATTCCAACTTGCCTTCCCAAGCGTCAAGGAGAAATCCCAACATCTTTTTCTTCTTCTGCTACTGCCAGTACTGTTGAAGAATGTTATCCAAATAGTTTCTCCCAAACAAACACAAAGTAAGGTCTTTTCTAATAGTGACTCACTGGCGAGATGGCAGAGAAGCACTTGGGAAGCTCACCACACACGCTGGGTAAGACTTCTTCAGAAGCAAAAGACCCAAAGCAACACACAGGACTCCCATTGCACCACCAGCCCCTCCTCCCCACCACGGTTCCATACTTCTCAGCCAGCAGCAAAACCAGCAGAAAGGCAAGTGCCAGCACAGCATGAACTAGTGAAGAGGCAAATACTGAAAGACAGGAGAGGGATGTGAGGGATTTCTTTCTGCAAAAAGGAATCTCATGCAAGCTAAACCCAAGATTGCTTTAGTAACAGTATGTCAGAACCATGTTACAAAAGGAGCCTTGCTACGGTGAGAAGCCATGCCACCACTGGTAATCGTGGATGGCTTCAGGACTGGGAACTACCTGAGGTCTGCTCAGACCCATCTACAATGCCAAGCCCAGGGCCAGAGCTGCAAATTCCGGGAGGAAATGACACCTAAGGTACACGCAGCAGACAGCCCATTCCCTGGGACACGGACATTAGCTTGCCCCAGTTTTGCATGAAAGATTCCAACTTCACTCGGGAGGTATCAGGTGTCAGCAAGCACCAGAAACAGAAGAGCGGGTCAGTGACTTGGTTCACCAAGGCTGTCCCTCCGGAGGCTGCTGGGGGACTCCAGCAGCCTCCAGAGGCGCAGCGGCCGCGGCTCCCCGGCTGCGGTTGCCATGCTGTGGCACAGACGCCTCACTCACCGTGCGGTCTTCAAGATACATGGTTTTTGACAGGAAATCAATTCCAATGGTCGCCTGGAAAGAAGAAAAGCATCAGTAACTGCAACATGCCTTCCAGCATCTGCGCATCAGATCTTTCCGTGCAAACTCTCAGCAACGTTCACAAACTTATCACGAAGCTGTGGAAGCCATTTGCCTTCGATACAGTGGATACAAACAAAGCAGTCTGTGTATCTGCACCATCATCATTTCACATCGTTCTTCCAACACCTCCCAACTGCAGAGAACCTCCAAGACTCGATTTTGGCCTCAGACATTCACACATCTTACCACAGACCACATCTGAACCGGCATCTCCTTCTGGTCTACGCAACTCAGCCTGGCAAGAATTATCGTGTCAGAAATAATGAAAAGGAATAGCAAATCACTGATAGAAATGGCGTGCTGAAGGCTAAAAAGCAATGTTTATTCAGGACTTTACAATTAAGAACATGCTTCCTTTGCAGTGACATCCAGGAGCTTCGTTTCCCAGGCAGTTCTTTCTGCAAGTCTCCTTTCTGCAGCCTCCTCAGCCCTGCACTACTCTGCCCTTGCCGAGATTTCCCTGGCTTTTTCTATCTATGGTCTTTTAGTAAAAAAAATAGTAATAATGAAAACAGAGAGACACAGAGAGAGAACATACCACGCTGACTTCCTGCAGATCTATCTACACTTTGTACTTGCATGCTAGAGACCAAGAACTCTGATAAGCATCTTCATTTCTTATTCCTTCTGTTTTCTGGGACTTCCATATCCATCGCCAGTCCCCCCGACCATCGCCTTCTCTGTGAGCCAACCCCATAAACTAACATTTCTCCCCGTTTTCCTCAAGGCTTCTCACATATCCAGACAGGATTTAAACCTTGATGCTTTTTTGCACACTGCAATTCCTGACATCATATTAGATGCTTGGGCTTAATTACGAAGTCTCATCTCCCTTTCAG